GACAATGTTCATTTGAAAGTTGAAATCACTTTTATCATCGGCATTAGCATTTCTTCCTTCATTACACACACAAATTGTCTTATAAATAACAAACAAAATAAGTTGTTAGCAATAACAATTACTGCTCTACTTAATTCCGACCATGAATGCGAAGCTGCTGATGAGATGTGACCGAATGAATGGTAATGGCAAGTTGTTATGGACAGTTGTTGAATGTATTTCAATTTTAAAAAAATGATATATCATCATTGCAGAGGAAATCTTAATGAAAACCAGCAATAATAGTCATATTCAGTGAAGCAGTAGAATGTTTGTAAAGTAGAATGTTTGTGAGTAGAATGTAAAAATGCTGATGAAGAGTTTGAAGAGAGGATGCTGAGGAGGTTTTAAAAAGTGTGTGTACACGTGAACGAAAAGGTATGTAGAATGAAAACAGAAAATCCTTCGATGTATAGCATAGCAAGAATTAACGATAGCAAGAATTCAATAACGATAGCAAGAATTCAAAACTATTGACGATTAAAACGAGCAATTTCACAGTTGATGCCAACCGTAACTGATTATTTTGAACGTTAATGGAGATATTTTTGAAATAATAAATGGATACGATCAAACACTTCGAACTGTTTCTTTTCAAATAGTTAATTCAAATGAGAATGTTCGTAGTTGGTTGTTTCATTTTGTACATCCCCTCACCTACTTCTACTACTACCACTTCACTGGTAATTTGCGTCTCATTAAAGTTGCGGTGATTCGTTCGATGGAGATAAGCCACGTTCATATCTGGCTTTATGAAGTGCAGCCAATTTACCTCTTGCCTCAGTCAATTCACGTTCTTTTCGAAGCACTTGTTCTTGTGCATCCATAACCTATAAAATCATTTCTCTCAATTGAGACTATAAGATATCATAGGGTATTACATGAGTTATGCGCCGTACCTGAATTTTCAACACAATTGAATCCTAGTCTCTGTTCTCTACATTCTTCATTTTCTATTAAAAATTTCTGAGATTGATTTTGAGACAACTAAGGCTAACCTGAGCAATACCAGACACCATTCGTTGGGATATAACCAAGGTTCGTTCATCTTCATGAATTGCTGATCGTGCAGCTTGCACGAGATGTTCAGTAGCTGTTTTCACGGCGTGTCCAGCTGACTGCAATCGTTGCATTGCACGACTGTCCAAATCTGATTTTACTTTACATGCAACCAGAAGATGTGCTGTTGAGGATGCCACCTGTAATGCAAATTTGCCATTTGAAATGAAGTGCCTTTCTTGAACAACTCACTGCAGCAAACAATCACTTTTCTTACAGCATATATACGTTGTTTTACCAACAATTTACATTGACAGACATGAGAAGATGAGATGTCGAACCTGTTTGGCCGCAGAAATGAGTTTCTCTTCAGAAGAGTGTCCTTGAACTAAAGCATTAGCTGCTTCGCAAAGTTGATGTACTGCAGCGGCCACCAGGCGCGCTGCTGATATGAGTCCTTCTGACCACTGGTAATCATCAGTAGCAAACGCTGGATGTGCTTCTAGTCTTCAACAAAAGATAATGAGCAATACTAAATAATCATTCATTCTAGGAAAAAGTTTCTGACTGACTCAAAATGTAGGAACAAGCATTCTTTCTTTTCAACAAACTCAAAGCAGAAACGGAGCATGCTTATGACTACTGGAAGTGCCTGGGGCTGCCAATGTGGACATAAGTCACAATCAGGAATAAAAACTTCGAACGATTATGGATGAATTATCGCAAATATTAAAGAACGACTTCTCTGGATAACTAAAAGCAATTCTGAAGTGATTTACGATGACAGAAAAAAGTAAGGTTTATAATGCGATATTATCATACTCAATTTCAATAAATGCACAAGACATTGCATAGATATTAAAATTGAGTCGAAATTTGCACACACCTTCCCTGAGCGACTAACTCGCGCTGTGCAGCAGATGCGGCTTTAACAAGTGTCTGAACAGCACTTGCAATCGACTTGGCTGCCGTAAGGATTTGTTCGTCAAATGTCAACGATTCATCGACTTTCTGAATTGTTCATTCAGTTTACGTATTGCATTTGAACAGCATTCATTCTGTTCGATAACTATTTCACTTCACAACACAGTGAACGCCACCCAACGGACAGCAACATACAAAATCCTCTTCGATTCAGTAATCGATAAGAATCACACAAAAAAAAACATTCATTTTGACTGAATCTTAATTAAAGAGAATCGTGAATGACGATTATCTGCTACATCTCGTTAATAAGTAATAGTTCTGTGATGGTAACTGCCCATGTAGGAATAAAGTTTACATTATTTTAGGTGAATGCATCGAAAACATAAAGTTGAGAGCAATGTGATAGTGAGCAATACGCATCAATAAGATGCAACAGAAATCGTAGCACATAAACTGAAATAATACATATAATTGACAGCAAATTTACGTTTTTATCAGTTATAATAGTATGATAGTTGTTAGCTGCAGCAAACGTGATAAGATCACGAAATGGATAGAACAGAACTGAATAAAATAGAATAGAATAGAATAAAACATTTTCAAGGTGATTTCCTCTTTGATCTCCGGATCAGACTGATTGAAATATGGTGCACTTAAGCGGGGAGGGGAAATGGTGTTGTTGATAGTAGATGCCCGATGCATTGCATAACGATGATACGTCTGAGATACTGGTTGACAAAAACCCAACCCAAGAATACCAGACATATCAACGCTGCACATGCTTGTGCCAGTTGTTTAATTTTCGTGTTTGTCACAGATACTCTTGCCGAGTAAAACAATACGACTGATTTGCTTATGAGCAGCAACATTTGAAGTAAACAATAAATACTGAAGAACACGATGCATAATTGTTGAAATATTGCGATTGCAAACGACTTAGATTCGATGCATTCATTCATTTAGCTATTACAACGCAAAACAATAATTCATTTCACATACTGAATATTATCATCTCTGGGATGCATTATTACATAACGTAACTGTAAAATGAACGAAGTAAAATGAAACAGCTTACATGAACGTGTCTTGGCCTCAGCTGTGCAAGTTTAACAGCAGCTGCCTCAATAGAGTTGGCCGCTCCAATGAGTTCGTTTTCTGCGACAGCTGTGGGATCTGACGGATCTGACCACGAATCTCCTTTCAGTAACTCTCCACAGTTGGCTAGTTCACCAACTACCTGAAAAAAAAACTTGCATGATTAAGAGCGCTCTTTCGTCAAGCATATATGGATATCACGATGCTGTGATCGAGTAGAAATTGAAAGAAAACGATAGGAAATTGAGATAACTGAATGTGAAACAAGTAGTGAAAATGAACAGGTGAGTGAATGATGAAGAAGATACCTTCGCAACTCTCCTCGAAGCATCCAGAAGAGCACTACGAGCAAGAGGATCGTCAGATCGCACCAGAAGAGTTTGTAAAGTTATGAGTAAAGATCGTACTTGGACGGCTACTTCACGACCGCAATCCAATGTGTGATAACTGCAAAAATCAACCAATCAAAATACGTCTAATAACTGTGTAATTGCTCCGAAACATAGATACCATTTTATAAGTGGACAGCATGAACTTGTGAATAAAGGATAAATATTGTCAACTGAAAAAGAAATATTCTACGAAATGAAAATGATTCTGATAGCGAAAAGCTAAGGAGAAACTGTCAACGAGAGAATATTTTGTATCGAAGAATTAACTTCATTAGAAAACAAATATATACTGAAGCGAAACGAAAAAATGATCGTACCGTGCCTCAACTGAGTCTGCAGATTGTGCAGCTGCGCGTGTTGTTGCCAACAGATCGCAAACCGACTGTCTAGCAAGATTCGCTGCCGCGATAACGTCACTTTGCTGAAGTGTCTGTGCTGCAGACGCAGCCCTTGATGTTGCAATTGTTAGTTGCTTGGTTGAACGAATCACATCCTCTGCTGTTGCTGTACCTAAAAAGTTCTCCTGCTAAACTGCCAATTTCTGAACTTTTGCAGTCGAATCACATAGGGTCGTTAGTTCGTATCCCGATTGCGGACAGCAGTTTCATCCGAAGTTGAATAATCGATCAATAAAGATTAGCAACAATCTCAGTCGACACCACGATAAACAAAAAGGAAAACAAAAAAGTTCCAATACACACACACCTCTGGACGGAGCCTCACCACTATCGTACAAACGAATCTCTTGACCGATAGCCTCGATCGCTGCTTCGAGAGCTCGTGTACCTCGTTGATGTTCGTCTTCTACCGTTTTTACTGTTTTCAGCAATGAAGTTACATTTGTTACCATTAACTGAACACAGTCGTCATTATGAAAGAGTTGCTCGTTGATGATGTGATTATTCAATGTTGATAATGATCAGTTCGTCTATTGTTTTTGATTTGAACAGCTGTTACTAGTATTGATTGGCACTGTGTATCCAGCTATTCACCCACCCACTCAACTGCCACTGATCAAACTAGTTTCGAGCCGTTCAAGGAACAGAAACCAAAAAATTTTCATTCGTTTGCATTCTATAAACAAACAAATTCGAAGAAATATTACATGAACTACTTCATCGCTCCAACCGAAAAACAAAAAAATCGCTTCCTATTCGTCAACAAACAAACATTATCAACCGCAAACGAAATTGGACGACTGCATTGAGAACAAATCAAAACATTCTCACTTACAATATATCTACGAAAAGTTAAATGGCTGTTTCGAAAAAAACATTCCATTACATACACTTCAATCAAACTGATTTACGATCTCAATGAATCATCAGCAACACAGAAGCGATTTTCCAGTCTACTCCTGTCTCCGAAAAAAAAAAATTTAATATCATAAAGGGGATACGTATGAAAATAAGAATGCAAACCTTTGCAGCCTCTTTGAGATGACTCATTGCAGGATCATGAAGTGAACGTCCGGATGCATTCTTGGTTGCCTGGATTAGATTCGAAAGCGCTGCAGCCACATCGCGTACTAAAAACAACAGAAAGCAAGTGCCGAAGCAGTCTGACGCACTTACTTGAGTTGTGAAGCACATAATATATCCGAGATAAGCATAACCAATTAATTCACTTACCAGCATGAATAACCATCACTTGCGCCTCGGCGTTGTCCGACGACAGCGAAACGGCTCCGTTTTTAACTGCATCCGATAGATTCACAATCGTTCGAACAGCATTCTGCGCTGCAACCGCCAACTGCTCCTGATTTGATGCTGCACCAGCAACAAGAGCTTTAGTATCCTCAACCAACGCTTTTGCTGTTTTCAGTATCGCTTCTCTTAAATGGCAAAAAAAAATGCACGTAGTTGGGCAAATACAATCCTGGTCAACATATTATCCATATAGCTCTTTGATCTAGGCTTACGGGCACCCATCAGCAGCAGAGTAGTAGTCAGTGAGTGAATCTATCAGATACAAATGAAAAATCACCGATGATCGCCAAATTTCTCGCTCTCCTTCTGTGGATTCAATGAACCGGCAGTAGCGAACATGATCGTTGTGTCAAGATCGCCAATGATGCCGGATACGGTATTAGCAGCATTGATACATGCTTGAGTACCTTTAGAACCTTCATGTAGTGCAGCTAATACTTCTTGAACTCGTTCTACAACGGTACGTGACCCACGTGAAAGATCGTCTAGCAAACGCTGAAAATGTTTATAGTTGTCAGATGTTTGCTTTGCTATGCTGATGACACGATAGTGTTCACGTACAATAATATTTTTACATGTTTTCGTAAAATCAAAAATGCAACAATGCACATATGCAAATACATACCTTATCTTCAGGATGCGCTCTACGTTGTCCAGCAATTTTAACGACCTCTATACAAGCGGTGCCCAGTTTCTGTACGGCAACACGAAGTTTTTGGGCAAGATTCGGAGATGACAACGTTGCAATTGCAAGTCTTGATTCAGAGGCCAAATCAGAATATCGTTCCGATAATCGAAGTGCTAATGGACCCAGTGCCTCAACTTCAGTCATCGGCATATCAGTTGCAATACGCGATATTTCTTCTAAGGCACTCATCATGCGTGTTTGCGCATCCGTGAACGAACCAGCAGCGCTCGAACTGCTTTCGTCAGTGAGTGCGATTGATCTTGAAATGTTCTCAACAACACCGTGAATTACACCCGCTTCAGATGCCATACGATTCACGTTACGTTGCATATCAACAATTGCATCACGCAACTGAGTGGCACTTTCGTCAACCACCACGTGCAGATCACGAGCTTTCGGATTGCCACCAGCATCTTTACAAGCGTAGATCATTTGAAGTTCAGCCTCTACAACAGTCTTGCACTGCTCGAAGAAAGTGCTCTGCGCCTTAGTATCGTAGGTAATCGAAGCTGCTTGAACACAAGACTGAACTAACGGCTCTATTGCAGCCATATGTTCTCGCACGCTATGACCTAAACCTTCTGAATGGCCGACTGCTGCATCTCGAAGTGGTTCAATTCTGAAACGATTCACATCACAACTCAATGCATTCATAAATTCAGTTACGCACATACATACTGATTCACTCATCTGCTTTTCATATAATACCACATATTGATCTGAGTTATTATAATTCATCAGAATCAGAATTCTCGATAAACAAAGGAGATTTGATTCAGGTTCACTATGTATTTGCGAATAAAAAGCCAAAAGACTTGCTTTGCAATAAGTTCAAGCAGCATCAAACAGTACTGACCTGTCATGAAGTGATTGACATGCGTGTAATATTTGTTGGTGGACTCGCTGTTCAGTGACGCTACTTCGCGGTAACTGATCTTGATACGCATCAATTGAGGCACGATCTATCTGCGTTAACATCTCACGAAGACTTATTATTGCACTATCCAAATCAGCCTTAAATCAACTATCAATTACGTTCGGAGACCATCCATCCAACTGAGTTCTGATAATGCATGAACAGATCACAAGGAACTTAAAAGTGATTACATGTAAAAAACTAATAATAAGGACCCACTTGGCCAGGTGCCTTTTCACGTATTGCTGCAACGAGTCGTTTAATGCTTTCACTAACGACCTTCGAATTATCGGCGAGTCGTTGCCATGTAGGCGCATCAGTCGGGGAAGCAGCCAACTGTTTTGCAGTACTATAAATACATAGGAATGAATAAATTCGACTGCACTGCATCAGATAACTCACAATCAGAGCAAATACACCACTCACACAATCATATCACAGCTTGCATCAAGCATGTGTTTAGCAGAATGAAGGATGGGTCTTTGAGCATCCGATCCCGAAACAGATATCTTCGCTGGAACAGCTGCGAAGTCTGGATTATCTACGAATGTTTCCAGTTGCTCGGCAGCCGTATGCAGTGAATGAGCTGCTTCAGTGCATTCTTGCTGGTGGCGTTCACTGCAGAAGTAATTCAGTTCATATATGACGATAATAAAATACAGTACGATAAAAATAATACACAATGCGATCATATGTCAATTCATAACGATACCTACCAAAGCAGTAGGAAGTCATTTATTAACTCATTTCTAGACAACCATTGAAATTCGATAACTTTTCATGATCTCTATCAATAATCTTATCTATCATCGTAGTCATACGATTTGAAAGCACTGAACAAAACACATTGCAAATATTAAGTAAGTAATTATGCAAAGAATAAATTTAGCGATAATAAGTACGTGAAGGAGCTGTCTAATTGTTTAACAGATGTTATCAATGAAGCAGTCGATGATGCCACATCTCTGGCACAATTAATGAACTGTTTCTTGACATTCACATTGGAAGTGCGTTCTGATGCTTCACGGCATAGATTCGCTAACGTCGATGTATGTTTGGCCACCACAGTCGCATCCTTCAATGAACGAACCTACATGATGAATGTTCTTTTTTTTTAAAGCAATGCACATTTGAATTTTTGCACATAAACTCAAATAAAACAAAAACAAAAAAAGCGCTACACTCCGCATAAGATGATTCTGACAATAACGATAAATAGCAATTGCTCAAAAAAAAAATATCCACAGCACTACGAGAAAGAATTGCTGATCATTACCAGTATGCATACAAACGAATCGGCTCTGTTAAACCGCTAAGTTAACATTTGATCATAAAGTGAACAACAAATCAATGAATCACTAAACAACGTAAACCTACATCAAGTATTTGTTGTTGCGTATATTCACTACGTCGAATACGTTCGCAAATTTGTTTTACCAACTGAACAGAACGATCACATTTGGCTGTATCGATAATAGCCGCACGTCCTGGTTGACTTCTTGCATCTGATACACCAACCAAATAAGCGCTCTGCAAAATCATTCTAATAGATGAGCAAACGGTCCATGAAACGAGCAATTAAGCTGACGTCCGAATCGAAAATCTTGACATTTAAATAAAGCGAGAATTAATGAATATGTGATGCTACAAACCTGTGTTGCACCTTCAGCAAGCCCACAAACCGCATTTGACGCAGCACGAACACTTTCACATAGCAATTGTGTATCCTGACTTTTCGCGTGTCTTGCAATACCCGTCATACCTTCACCAAGTCGTTTCGCTTGTTCTGTTACCGAGTCAAGACTTTCATAATAACCTTCACTATTCACTGGTAAATTTGCACGTTCCAGCATGTATCGTACTGACTGAAGATGAATATTTTAAATAGAGACCACTTAGTAGATATTCTTACTTTACAAGCAAGCAGTGCCAGAATGTTATCAGCAAATAAACACTGTGAAAGTTAGACACCTGTATTTGTCTAAGAGCTGCTTCACATTCACGTTGCCACGGTGCTTCTCGAACGACGCTTTCAACGATCGCATTGACAGATTCAGTCAACGACCGGGTTGATTGGGATAATGCTTGTAGAGCAGTGGCGTTGGCAGAGTCTAACGACGCATTGTGAGTACGCACAATAATATTAATGGCTTCTTCTCGCACTTCTTCCAAGTATGCAATACACTGCTGGCGTTGTAATGCATCTGGCTGTTGCTGAATCGCTTGAGCAACCCCCGTGTGGAATTCAGTATACGAACGTACAAATACGTCAACTGCAGCCGACTGCTCTTGTGCCTCGAGCTTAACAGCCAACTGCGAACATGATTCAATTAGACGTGATGCAGCTATGCGCAAATCGACTGGAGCCGCTGTTTCGGAAACTCGATAGGAGCGAATTTGGTTGATTGCTTTTTCGATATGTTGGCTGTCGGGAAGCGATGAAAGGCACTGGCGTAACGAAACAGAAACTGTCCTGGTTGCTTCAGCGAGTTGCTCAGCAGCTGCATTCTCACGCACTCGATCGAACACACGACCCGAATCATGCACCACTGAGCGTGCGGATACGATGAATCTCTCAATGGGTGTATCATTTCTGGTCGCACAAACACCATGAACAGTTGAAGTGAATGACCGTAACGACTGAGCCACTTCAACTGCACTCGCGCCAGCATGTTGACGATCACCACTGGCTGCCGCACTGACCATCTGCGTCAGCGTCGATCCAACCTGAATGATTTGACGCAATGTAATATTCGTTCTGAGTTATTACAACAAACTTATTATAGCGAGTTAGCCATGAAATGGTTCATTTTCAAGTGTTTATTACCAACCTGTCTTGCTGAAGCCATTAGCTTAGATGTGGCAGTTTCAGCAGATTCACCTGGAACCGTAATAAGCTGTCCATTTTGGGCGGCATGTGAAATTTGTATCAATTCATTGTCAAGTTCATTGATCAAATCTTCGGAATGTTGCAGTTGCATATCAAAATTAAGTTGTTGAGCATTGTTGAGTGCAACGCGGAGTTCAGCCAACTGAGTGGACAGCTGTTGACTGGTGGACTGTAAATGATTTGCTACGTGTTGTTCACCTACCGATGATACCGTTTGACGTGCCACTTCAACCAGACGAGTTGCCGGTCTCAACACCTTAAAATGCAATACCTTCTGTAAAGAACATGCAAATTTATTGATCACTTACATTCTAGCAACTGAAAGGAATGCCATTTCAAAACCATTATCATCACCAGATCAAAAGCGAGAGTTTACATTCACCGTTATCAATCTCCAGCAAAAATTTCGTTCGAAGAATAAGAATCGAATGCAACTCATTCCATTATCAATCCCATCTCCTCTTCATCCATAACTAATAGACCACATTCCTGAGCAGTTCTATCGAATTTTAAAACAAAACTCCACTCAATCAACTCACTCATATGCATCATCAATAAAACGTTCATTTGAGATCGAGACGGCGAGTCTAATTCATTGAAGCACATACTCGTATCTCTGCGTATTTCATTTACTTGCTCATTCATTTTGTTGTGAAACTTCGAATTTCATCCCTCGACAAACGTGCAATTTGCATACTGCTTATAATTATACTTGCACTTTAAAGTTGATATATATCTTATATGTAGTAATTCCCTTGAAAGAGGGATTTATTGTCACCATGCATGCATTCCAGTCGGAACCAAGTTGTCGCCACTGCTTTGTCAGATGACGAGAAAAGAATGATGCGAGTTCATGCACGAACACTTTAAGGACAATGAATGAATATCGCATTGTCAGCTATTTCATCAGATCATCCATATGTGAAGATCACTCCCTTTTCTTGTCGAATTCACATCATATATTGAACCTATGATCATCTTCCCGTATCCCCCCACCCAAAAAAAAGAAACATCGTCAACGGATCCGGCAAATCGACTGTGAACGATAGCGCTTGTGAAAAAAATACGATTTATTGAAAAGCATTCACGTGAAACAGCACTAGTGTACAGTGAAATGCTATTATGGCAGTGCAATTCGAGTTAAACCGATTCAAAAAAAAAGAATAAGTTTTGATAAAATACTATGGAAGAAGTGCCGATAGGATGTCACTGTCATCATGTAAGTGGTTTTTAAAAATCTTTTTCGTCATTGTTTTCACAGAGGTGCTGATATGAAACTGAATCGAAAAATTATATAAGCACAAAGTTAGCCCTTTCTTTTGCAGAGGCAAAATCATTATTCTTTTTTTTGCAAATAGCATTAATTTAAGTTTATTGAAACCACAATGCTGCGACATCATACCGGAACGGGCGACAAGAAATGAGTGATAAACATCACATGCTGTGCAGATTGGCAAGAAGAAGTCTATACATTTGAAAGATTCGCTTCATATCACGAAAAGCAAAAAAAAAAGAGGCTGGCATGTTGGGTTGAAAGAACCCCAAGATGCTGACTGGTTATGATAAAAAATCCTCCCTTAAAACTGCTCGAACTCCAGGAATTTTCTACCGAATTTATCAAACATTCACCAATTTATTATCTACTAGAAACGAAGAAAATACTGAGAATAACTAATCTTAACTCATGGATATCGTATATTCAAATCTGCACAAATGAATGATCAACTGGTCAAGAATGAATTCACTTTCAACCCAACACGCATTGACAAAACGAAACGATCACAAAGCGATAGAAAAAGAGGCAAAAGAAAAGCGATTGTTGAAGTGGAGGAACATGTTTACAGGTACTAAACATTTCACCTATCAATCAGATAATTTTATGCTATCTGAGGTTGATATTAATGTTTATTTAATGCTTCTGTTCAAGATCACATAAGTGATCAATCGAATTAATGGAACAAACGATCGAAGATGCATAATTATATATTGACACATGCATAATTATCAATTCATTTTTTCAACCTTTCCTTGACAAAACTCGACTACGGTTGGTTCATTATTCACAAGAAAATTCAAGTAGCATTCAGCAGGTGCGTGAAGAATGCAAATAAACTGGACCACAAAGCATTTTCAGCAAAGAGACGACTGCGAAAGCGATGTCAATCCTTATTCATTCATTTACTAATTCAGTAACTGCAGAAAAAAACTCATCATATACTAATATGCAGATATTTGAATGAAGTTTGCTGAAATACTACATAATCAAATGAACAAAAAAATATTATCAAAACTAATATACTACCTGCTGGGTATCGCGAATCAGATTACTTTGTGCACGGAATTTATCACCAGGTGAATGTGCCGATTGGCTTTCTCGAATCGACGCAATTAGTCGTGGAACATGCTCTGCAGTTTCAGTGCATTCCACCACAAGAGTCTCCGTGACGGTCGTTGATTGAATATGCTGCTGACAAGCATTTGCTGCAGCTATCGTTTGGGTTGCAGCCGCTGCTGCTTGTTTTGCTGCCTTCAATCAGGTGTTTTTCGAATTTGAATTTCATACGTGTTCATTGCACAATCTCTTTTCATCGACAGACAAGAACATATCATTCGACATTCAAGAAGAGAACATCGAGTGATAAAGACTGACAATCATCACGCACTTCTATTTATGTATTTTGAACTGCGCCAAATTGCTTACTTTAGGCCCAAATCTTTCTGCTTAGTATAACTTTTAATTGTTAGTAACACAAGCATACATTTCGCACTGAAATCTTCATCAGATTCGCCTTTGTTTGGATATATTTCCAAGTGTGTATTAATGAGAACATTACACGATTTGAGTCATCCACTCCCTTACCTGTTCAAGATGTTCCATTGTACGTACAGACTGTTCCTCACTGGTTGCTTCGCTCGTTACAGTGACCAGCTTTTCGGCTGCAGATCGCAGTGCAACCTGTGACTCGGCCGCTTGTGGATGGCTCTGACATTCCTGTAGTGAATTTCTCTTTGCTACTAAAGTTTAAATGAACAATTAAATTACACATTCTTCATGAAAGTCGTCAGCTGCTTATAAAATGATTGTAGATGTTCATCAAAAAATGAAACAATAATGATTCTCAAGTGTCGATAAATAATACTGATTAAATGCAACAATCAATGATTCGCTCTACTGGCATGGATGAAATTCCATAAATTATTTTAGAATAACTTTGAGTGATTGATAATAATTTTACTTTGGTTGCATCAATCATCCTGCTGGTTGCTTGCGCAACGGACCGAGCTGCATCCAACAAACGATCACGTCGTTCAGGTTCACGATCCGCTTCTGCTTCCATTTGTTCCACCAAAATTCGACTATGTCGAATTGCGTTCTCACCTTGCCGAACCATATCCTCAGTTGGACCCTAAAAGTGCCAAGTTCATTACAAATTATCACAACAAGTCAACTTCACTTCCTAAATTCATTAGTTTTACGTGTGTGATATCTGTTTTATCTTCAGTGATAAGAAAAACGAACATTTCGAGCGATTGAAACATCTCAATGAAATTTATTCTTCGGATAGAAACGCAGAACTGATAAATCTGTTCAACAAAGATCCATCTACAAATCTGAGCTAATCACCTAGAGGTTGGATATGTACAATTGCTGGATTTGTGAATATGCAGTAGAGTAATCAGTAGCAAATTTGTGACGTAAAATCTGTAGATAGACTGCTATTTAATGATTCAATAAAGATGAAATAAAAAACCTGATAAGTGATAATCTTCCTTGATTGATTCAAAATTTGCTCGTATTCATAGTTCTCTTGTGTTTGCTTCAAAAGTTTCGGTGACGTCTTCACATGTAGCAGAAGATCATCTAACGCAGATGTGACTTGTCTAGCAGCCTCATGAATATCACCCAATGAACGTTGTCCATCAGCCGTACTCTTCGAACAAGCTGATTGCGCATCGATGAGCAGTTCTTCAACAGCTTTCGCAACTTGTTTTGCAGCACCAGTAAGCTGTTCCTGACATGCTGGTGATTCTATTGTTGGAGCGACAACTCGTGCACATGCCACCAATTGAGATGTTGCGAATGCGCATTGTGTTGCACTATGTATCACTTTGTCTTGCAACGCTGGCTCTTCACACTCTGCTGATATCGTCTTTGCACTCAAAATAAGTACCATTCAAAACTGAACTATTCAAAAGTCTTTTCATGCCCACCTTCATAATAAGATACCAGTTTATCGCTTGCAAATTTACACTCTTTCTAGAATTATTGACTTATGAGCGCAATCATAAAAAGTCATCTTCCTTTCTCTCCAATTTAATTTTGCACTCCACCATATGCGCTAACTACGAGCTGCCATTGAATTGACCTATCAGAAAACAACGAGAAAAAAATTGCAAAATTAATGAATTAACTTCGCTATGAGACAACTGGAAATGGAACAGAAATTTTATGGTCACCCTATGACACTTGAAAGGAATTTCAACACAATAATGATATTTTGAATAAGATGATGCGATTAGAGATAACTACCTGAGAACGAGCTGAGCGGTTGATGTGGCAACATTTTTGGCACGTTTTACGAGATGATCGTGGAAGGTACGTGTCTCTTGGGTTGGTTCTTCAAGAGTATTGATAACGGCTTGTGAGAAGTCACCAACTCGTCCAGCAGCCGCAAGCACCGTTGTTCGTTTCTCTTCATGCTCTGGATTCACTGTCGTCAAGAAATCTGAGAAAGCTCCGCATAATTTCCGAGCCGCATCTACTAGATTACCTGTAAAATAATTTTTTTTCAATAATATTCTTTGCGATCATCATTTAGCGCTCTATTATTTATCACCGTGTAAAGCAAACAGAACATGAACTCTAATGAGTGCATTTCTTGGAAAGGGGAACAATTATCATTCCACAAAATTTTCAACAAATTTCATTTGTTGACTATATCTGATTAATGATTGTTGATGATAAGGTATTTTTTGTTAACATAACTCATTCAGTCTATACACAACCTCATACACCACCTGAACAGACTAATGATTCCTTCGATTGCATCCATAAAGACGCTATTATATATTTCACAGAAAATACGACTGTCAGCTCTTTCCCCTCGTGCGATGAGCTCAACTCATGTCAGATAAGAAAGAAAGAACTTTAAAGAACAAATAAAAGCCCTAGTGGTTTCGTCATTCCATATAATTTAGAGACAAGCAACCCACACAATAAATGCATTCACCACACTGACACACACATTCATCTGTCAGCTCTTTTCTCTCTTCAATTCCCCTTCGTTTTTTTAAAATCTGTATTGAGAAAAAAGTGATCAAGACTTAAAACAAACAGATGATTTCATGATCGATGAAATTAAGAATCTGTAATATCAAGCTCGACGATTAACGAAAATATCTCGAAAATGATGATGATGTGTTTAAATCTATCTCGTTGGCAAAAGTTATCCTGCGAGAAGAAGGAAAGTTTTTTTGGAGCTGAACGACGGACCTATACATGAAAGTCTGCTGATTCTAAGACACGCAATGGATCGGCATAAACTGAACACTCTTATCACTATATTTTGATTGATCTGAGATATACAAGCACGTGATCACTCAGGAAACGATTGAAACGAGACTTTTAATAAAGCGTTGACTATGTAAATAGAAAGGAAGAGATGATGATCAAAAGTGGCATTGCTCAATAGCAAATAGGTGATAATCAGTTATAATTGTAATAATATACCAGCACGATGCTCATCAGGCATAAGTGCTGCAAGTTCTCGGACTCCACGACCCATCTCAGGCAGATTCGATCCAATAGTTGCAATCGCTGTACCAACACGTGAATCGATCTCATCCGGCACTGCTGTCAATTGCACGACTTGTGCTGTTGCTGCACCCATTTGTGCTAATTGATCACCAACCTAAATAATCTTTTCGATACAAAAACAACAATAACCATTAAAAGAACGTTAACAAATTCAATCACACAAACACGTAAAATTATACGATTCCACTATTGGAGCACCAACCTTCTGCTTCTCAACCTCAACTTTGGTTTCAACCCATTTCCTTGAGGTAGGATCATCGCTGAATCGTGGCAATTCGATTTGCACAGGTTTTTCCATTTCCTCTTCAGCCTTCTCAACAGCACGCATTGATGCTTCAATTGTTCCAACAAGTGCACGCTGTGCTCTTTCTTGAGAATCAATCACCCGAGCACGCTGTCCCTGAATCATGAACATTGCCACAACAGTATGTAGTGCTCATGAAGAATCAAATGCAGTCATTTCAAATTACTTTATTTTAATTTGATGCTTCCATCTGAACACTGCAAAATTTGATATCTTAAAGGTGAACTTGATAGAACGAAAATGATCCAACATCAAAAGAAGTCGAACAGAGAACGAAGATAAAAGAAGGTTGAAAAATAAATGAATGACAGTTTGTTGAAAGGGATACACAATCTGCGAATAAACACAGCAGTTTAAACGCAACAACGAAGGAATTACATCGAACTGATCCATCATCCAAAAAAAACAAACCCTTGCAACTTGCTGTTGTTGGATTTGTCCACTGACAGCACCAAATTGAGCGCCGTTCATTTGACCACGTTGCCCACTCGCTAAAGCAGGACCTGTTCTAAGAACACCTGGAATAGCAACGCTTCCCTCCATCGCGAAACCTTCTCCAATTTGTCCATGAGCAACAAGCGTTGCACGTGCTGGTGCAACTACATCCTCGAGCATTGTTGAGCCTTCATCGCCCTTAACATAAACGAACTCATTCTTCGATCACAACTCATCCACTCTTTTAACAGAACTTTTTTTTTAATTGAATCATAGAACAAATTTATTCATTGATGACGGACTGACTGCCACATTTCAATAATTGCTATTTGTTTACACTTGTTTCTTTCAGTTTTCGCTTGCCGTATGACTGAACATCGATAGGGTCATTCGAATGTGCAGTAAATGAACAACAATTACTTAAGCAGCTATTGAAAATGAATATTAAGAAAAAAACAGTAGCTGAATCATAACAACCGAATAATTCACCTCAATACCAATATGATCACGAGTTCGCTTCTTTTTCAGAATTATGTCAATATAGCCAGCGATTAACTGCGCGATTTTCTCACCATCAGCCGTCTGTACCGCGTAATATCCATCTTGATAATCACCGAAATCCTGGATGCGAAGAAGAATATGAAACGCTAATTTAATTCTTTGCAGGTTTCTTATATTATGTGAAATAAGCAAATGAGTTTAAATAACTGTAAGTAATCAATCGGAGCAAAAAGATCAATTAATATCAACGAACAGTAGGACTACGATCTGATAATAGACGAGTTATAGACGAAAAAGAGAGATGAGTTTGTCATGAGCATGCACTTCAAAGAATTTTTGAAAGTTGACCGATTCAAGCAATAGAGCCAAACCGAATCATAATAGTGAAGAAATTTATTTTACCGCTCAAACTGCTTCCTTCTTTATTGGTCAAAACTGAGAACATAATCGATTGATAACTGAGTTCGTTCTGAACATCAATAATCCATATGATATGATTTGTGTTTCACCAACAATGATTATTGTTGCTGATTAACGGTTAATATAGGAAAACAAACCAAAGTGAATGTTTTAGGTGAAGCAGCCCATCGCCTGACTTGTTCGAGTGGCCATTCTTGGAGCACTTCTTTGGTTCGTTCATCAACACGCATAACACACTCCTTATTGACACCCAGCAATCTCGGTACCAGTTTATTTTTACCTTTCACTTTCTCTTTTACGACGAAGAACGTTACGCCATAAGTGATCAGTGACCGACACAAATGCACGTACTTACTTTTCGCATCCAATTCACTTTTACCCACCAACTCACGATACGATTCTAATATTCGCTTTTCATTCTCACGTGATTTTGAATACTCTTTCGGTAGTAGCTCACGAATGCTGCAAATTTAAATTAAATTAGACGGAAATGATGTTGATAACAGCAGTAAGCGATTATAATCAGCAAGAACAATTTTGCTGTCTACAAACTCATCAGTTAACAACCGTTATCATATGATATGAAAAATTTTGTGTTCGATATTAGTTGAACAAGAATTCCTTCGTTCATCGAAAAAATACTCACTCGAGGAAGCTTGAGCTTTTCTGTCGACTTTCTTGCAAATCACCATATTGGATTTGACACTGAAGAGCAGCCAGATCGCATGCCATATCACGCGTAACTGGATGATTCCCGTCGAGAACGCCTCTTTTGCACTGTTCATAAAGCAGATTTAACTGCACTGGATCACGACAGTCCACGTTCGTATCCGAGAAAAAATATTTCCGCCGCAGAATCAGAGTCTCATCATCACCTACCTGAAACTCAATAACTCTCATGCGAACGAACAATGCTAGCAATAATACCTGTTTTCACAATGTTATATTCAATCACTAGTCACCAGGTGATTGTATTATTCTTATTCAGCAGTGGCCACAGCAGACTATTCGCTATTCCGCCACCAGCAGAGCTACTTCTTTCGTTAGTGCTAACCACTTTTGATCATGAGTTGCGGTAGGAGGAGAAGATCATACAATGGGTACAAAGATCCCAACACATACCTCTTCCTCCTCTAATTTTGGTATACTCAAAACTAGGCATGTTTTGGTACATCAATTTTGGGATAAGATCAATTTCAGTATGAATAGAATAATCTTGGAATATAATCAAAAATACGCAATTCGTTCATAATTCCAGTCTCCCAAATATATGAACACATTGAACTGTAGAGCTCACGGAATCACTCAGAAACGTAAAGACATAACTTTTAAAGGTACATTAGTTCAAAACATAGCTTTCTCCCTTCATCGCTCCTAATTTAAAGTTCTGTAGATTCTAAAAATAGATTTGAAATCAGCTACACTACTGTAAGAATATTACAAGCTCCACATTTAAGTTTACCCTCATTCTTGCCTATAATATAACGATTTCTTAATAGAAGCGAACAGGAGAGGTTTTCTACTATCACAAAACTTTATGTGATTTTGAGGGGGTTTGCCCACTTTCAGAAATAGAGTGATTTATTTATTGGAAGGATGGGAAGATTTGGTAATTTGACTGAACCGTGTGATTCAGATGATTCTCTCCAAAGTCTCAGTTTCTGATTTCAAAGATATTTAAGATACGTCCACAGGAAATCAGTCATTTTTGCTAAGTTCTCAATTGATTGCATTAGTGTGTTGACCGAACCACGTCATCTCGTTATCAGAATGTACATCTTAAGTGAAGGATTTCTAAATTTCATTGTATGATCCGTAAAGGTGATATTTTCATCAACAATGGGAGGGAGATGTGAGTGGGTAAGGTGTTCCCTAATAGGCTAGGAACTTGGTTATCTGATTATCAACTCTTAATAACTTTGACTGTTGGTTACGGCATTCATCCGAATTGCCGTAATTTACTGTTAACTCTACTTTCCTCCCCATAACTGCTTTCGCACGAAAACAAGCACGAAATGGTACACAATCGTCAATAACCCTAACATGAGTTACTGCTAGCCTCAATTTCATTTTTACCATGTTAAGGGCTCGACGAAGTGGCTCTTCAGTTGGACATCATTTGGTTATTATTATTATCCTAATTCCTTAACAATCGGATGCCATTTGAATAAATTTTCCCAACGAACCCCGAGATTCCCAATCATATTCCCAACGAACCCCGAGATTCCTAATCACATTCCCAACGAACCCCGAGAAGATTCTACCAAAATATTGATAGCTTTTTCTTAGACAAATCAGCAACGCGATTGCAAATTTTGAAGGAAGATTTGAATTTAGTGATTAGCGGATTAATTTTGCTGAGTAGCGTTTCAACGAAAACTGCCGCTGTTATTTTCAATTGGCGGTACTTTCAGAGAGAAGTTTCTGATACTTTTTCGTCAGCGACGGTATTAGAGGAGCGAAAATATTTTTTAGGAAATTATTGCTTAGATAAGTCATTTTCCAGTAGTCTGCCCACCACTGGATATGAATGATACTTTTTCGCATGATAATATGTGTAGTAGAGTCCGGTGCAAACAATAACAATACACTCTCCGAACTGCTGCTCAGCAAGGAGACAAAGGATTTCACAGAAAATGGAAAAAAAAACTATGTAAATTGTCATACAGTGAGATTGACGTCAAGCGATTCAATCATATGAGACCTGAATCAATAGAATGGGAATGAATAAACTAAGGTGGGTGAAGTAACTCCTTTCCAATTTTCTACCTTCTCTTGTTAAATGATCATCATGATTTTATCAGCTACATAAATCCGATTTCATCTGATAGAATAGATCAAAGCCTTCATTTAAATGTTTGGAGCAATTTGGAGAAGATAGTAGGTTGGGAATTAAATTACAGGCTTCAAAGACTACAAAAAAGTGTTTATTTTGCAACGTTTGACAGCATGCTAAAAGAATTGTTTCAGCAGGTTTATTCACTGCTTTAGGAGAATTCAAAATTGTTCTATTGGGAGATCAACTTGACATTGAACGATTGCATAAAGATAAATATAAAATCCTCGAAGTTCTAAAGTTTCTAATAGTCATTCCTGATATTCGAGTACGTTATCGACATCTCTCTTGAAGATGAAACTTTTATATCTACATTAAACATTTTCAACATAGTGTTCATTACCGTGTGGATCAGAAGGAAGAGACATATTCAGGGTTAGGAATAATTTGCTTATTGAGGATAAATTATTAGAGCTGAGCGATCTCAATATGAGTTATGCTTTGACGTCAGCCTTTTTAACTAAACTGAAAATATGACAATGGAATTTCAAACTTGGGTTTATTATGATGCCTAAGTCTTTGACGAATGAGCAGGGAATTAATTTTTGGTTTTGGATAATGAGAGGATTATCAGGACTTTTCTTACCAATTCTGACTGATTTCGTTTTTTGTTTCTGAAGCTAGCGGTAAAAGACAATATGATGACTACTGGTTTACGAAATTATATTTAGCTTGCGAGTTGCTGGAAGACGTGAAGACCTTAACATTGCCTGCAGAAAAGAATCATAGTGAGTCCGGAGAAAGGCATTCCGGAAAGCCGTTGACAGAAATAAGGAGAAGGGGCCCCAGAACGAAACCTTGAGGAACACCAATGCTGATGTATTCTGATGAATCGCCAACTTAGGCTGATTGTGAACGGTTCGTAAAAAGGTCTCAGATGCAATTGCAGAGAGAATCTCGTTACAATATGCTTGTAATTTCGAGGATATTTTAGGTATGAATACCGAATCAAACACTTTTTTGAAATCAAAATATATAGTACCGATGTAGTCCGCCGTGTCTCAATAAGACATTCAATTTTGGTAGAATCGAGGTAGAACTGTAATGATTGATCTTCTATCGCGAAAGTCATAATTCGAATAGGGATTGCTATATAGTTCCTTACTTTGGCTGCAGTTTTTTCCACAATTTTAGAAAGCGAGCAGGTCAATGAGATGGGACAAATCGTCGAGAAGATTAGATTGGAATACAAGAGAAATATTTTTCGTTGCTACGCAGATAGCAAAATTGATGGTGTACATATCATTCCTTTACATTGTATACGCTAAGCTGAATTTTTCTTTGCGAATTCATTTTGGAATCATTTTTGCATAGGTCTGATGATTGTTGAGTTGCACCATGAGAGGACTGAGCCAGCTGATACGGTAATAGCCAAACAACCCGGGCTCTCTGGTGAAATGCTCAATGTGCTGATATTGCCGAAAGAGAATGAGGTGTGAAGTGGGCTGCTGACAACTGATTGTTTTTCACCTTTGAATTTTGCTGTCGTCATTCCGTTACTTTCTTATCGCTGAACCTTGCTTTTATCATTGACTAGTGATTACTTTTGGACTGATTATGTGTTGTTGAATGATTCAATAAAAATTTTCAATAGTTTAATGGCGCAACGAGGCTTTTTCCCGGATAAATCAATTATGCTATGGCAAATTTGGAGTAAAGGTTAGAAAGTAGTGATTTGAAAAGTGATTTTGCCAGGCTGCGTTTTAGCATAAGCTACGGTTATTTTTCCGATTAGCGACACTTTTAGCGAAGAATTTTCACTACTTTTTTGTCAGCGGCGCCAAAGGCGTACTATTTTCAGCGGAACGAAAATATTTTTACGGCGAACTAGTGATTAGCGGAGCTACATTTTCTAGCCGCTTGCTCATCAGTGTTCTTATTATCGCAAATGACTGATACTCGCGCGTACCGATTGTTCACGAAGTGTTTTTCCATGATCGAGCCACAGTAACTTTTCATCAGTGTGCAATTTAGCTCGAAGTTGTTCCATTTTCTTCTCCTTATTTCGGCTCAACGTGCCAAATCCAACACCCCTTTCTTCGCTCTTTCCTCGTTTCTCGTCCCTTAACGTCTGTGTTGACTTCCAATCCTGTTCCAACGGTTGTCGAACCTGAAATAGATTTCTCTTCATGTAAGTACACTATTTGTATGACTGCATTTGATGACAGCTAGTAACAGCATGCAACCAGTTCAGTTTAGTTCTAAACGATCAGAGAATAAATCGACGAATGATTTTTTCTGAATAAAAATCGTGACCATATTTACCAATACTGCTCATAGTAGCCCCAAACCAAGAACTTTTTGGTAATACTTTTTTGAATTAAAAAATTTTATTCTTGAAAATTAAAAACGGAGTTCCTAGCATTATGAGAATTCAAGTCTTGATTGAATATATGAATATTCAAAAAAACAAGTGATCAAAATATCTGCACGACCATCAATGGTTACCATTACTATTATAATAACAAAGACACTGGAAAGATGATATAAATGGAATGCAATAATTAGAATACATTCATCCTTATCTAAGATTTGTTCTAATTTTCAATTCTTCAATCCATTTGTACTTTTACTTTGACAACGAAGAAAAGGAAAAGACGAAAAGGATTGAATTAAATTCATTCATCAAATAAATACAGCAATCAAAATTATTTTTACATTTTAATCGCACCACTAGTACGCCGAAAATATGTGGCAATGTATAGTTTGTTATTGAACTGTTTTATTCTGAAAATCTTAAATCCAAATCGTTCAGAAGATTAGATTAGAATACAAAACAGAAATTCATTTTTCGTTGTTACGCAGATATCAAAATTGATGGTGTATATCATCCATTTACATTGTATACGCTGAGCTGAATTTCTGTTTGAAACATGCATAGACATCAGATACACATTTTTACACCTTGTTTCATTGCAGAACAAAGGCTCCCTTCGGCATTAAAAGAAGATCACTAGCCGCAATAATAATACTATCAAACAATAATGCTAACGAAAAATCAGCTCATTGACGATCAATTCCATTTCAGTATTTTTTACGTTTCTTTCTATTATTTTCCGCAGCGGTATTCATACGGATCAATGTGGTGTGGTTTTAATACACCTGTTGGATAGCATTGTCGTGCGAATCAAGTGAACCCAAGCAGATGCGAGTTACTTTTCGCAATTTTTTTGGTTTAAAAAATTGTATTCCGATCTGCTGTTGAAACTTGGTACTCGGACAGAAACGGAGATCATGTGCTGAAGCGTGGCATAGATGTGGTAGATGTAGAGTTACACATCCACTTCCTTCTATTCATCAGCAAATGGCAGCACAAAACGGGCGACGGATCATGACTCCCAAAGAGGTTGTCGGATGGATTAGAACAAAGTGTAGATTAACGGAGGTGAATTCTAGATACACGCGATCTGCAACAAAACCCAAACACACACCATTGAGTACTCTTCGTGATTGCTGATACCGATTTTTGAGCAAACCACCAACATAATTTCGCCAACCGGTTGACTCTCGTCAACCATTACCGTCTTCACTGCATCGTCCAGCATTCGAACTTTCAACGCTCGAATCTTTTTTTTGTACTCGACTGTATCCTTTAAAAAAAATCATTTAGTAACCCTTCAATGAACACATCTAATCATGAAACATTTTTTCGATAACCGAAACAATCGCTCCTTTGTTCAGATTTAAAAAATTCATAGCTAAATTCTCGTTATAATATTCACTAACTGATTGCACAGATTAACAATTTGATAAGTGCTATGAAAACATTATGAGTCGAAATATTTAAACAATAATTTCTCAGTTTGAGAAATACCAAAAGATTTCAAACTATATGCCATCATCTGGCATGTTGTTGATTACTCCAGTCTATTTTAACTCTTCTCAAATAACCACAATCATATATGAATAAGATGATTTATAATAATAATTTAATCATGATAATTGCTACTCATCTACTAACTATGCTGCTACTATCGCAGACTTATTAGGCACTTATATTCACTCGACTCGTGATCGCACAAAAAATAAATTGCAAGCAATGAAAAAAAGTACATAATCATTTTGGAGCATTTAAACTGAACTCAAATACAATTAAACTAGAAAAGAGATGAAACAGGATCAAAGATACTCTATTCTGTTGCGCTTTATTAGTTTGCTATCAAAATTGACTTTCACTGATTGAACGAAACTTTCTAGCGTAAATTGACTTACGGACCCCATTTCTAACAAGATAATATTCCAGCGTACGTCCGTTTTCCATCCAAACGCATTTTGTTGGATCTTCTTCCAGACGAAATAGGCCATAATCCTTGGCTGAAATATCAGTGAGTGACTGCTCGTTGAATCATACAGACGCTTTATTTCGCATAATTCAAGTTCACCGAATTTTCAGCGATTAGAGACAGAGTGGTCTTCATTGCAGTGCTCACCAAAAATGCTCTTCATTACAATAGAAATCAACATTGCGACTTGTTGATTCGTAACCGGATTATGGGGTGCAAAACACTTGGATTTTTTGAATATAAAATCTTATAGTGCTCACAAAACTTCGCTCAAGAGGTATATTGAGTTAATGAAACAGCGACATATTGAATCGTTTGACAAACTTTGTGAATATGAAGTAGTAGTCAATGCGCATATGAAGTTGCCCACTGACCAAGGATATATCTTTCAACAGCAATTGCTGGAAGCTTTCCTCATTTACAAGGCGTATGGCGGTATCAGGTGAATTCCAAACAGTAATGCAGTGTTGTTGACAAAATATTACCTGCGCAATTAGTGGTATTACAAAGGCACATCGTTGCAATATCTCTGATTGCGCAGGTAAAATGGACAGCAAATAAGTAGAACATACCATTGATATTATTTCCAGCAATTTTCTCACGAATGATTTTACACGCATCGAAAACGAGGGTCGAGGGCTCGAACTGCATTGTTTTCTTCACATTATGCTGATCATCGCCTCTAGCTGACCACACCACATTTAACGTTATAACACCCATTGTTCTTCTTTCTCCTCCGCTGCCTCTTCTTCGCTACCCACAACCTCTTGAATTATATTATCATGATTAGTGCTTGTAACAAATTTACGCTTTGTGTTCATTGAAGAAATCACGCTTCTAAAAATGACTGCTTATTAACGATGGTTGCAATCAAACATGATCAGTAATTCAATTTTAATAACTCCTTAGTTTCAGTAATAATAATATAAATGCAATAATGAGATGAGTTCCGCATGAAAACAACCACAAAAGTATTCATAAAGAAAAACACTGATAGACCATTCAGTTTCCAACGAAACCTTCCCTACGAGCGAGGAAGTTCATGACTTGTCTGGTATCATTCATGTTATCATGATCCCATCAAGAAAGAGTTGTCATCATATTCTTGTGTACAATCCTATACATAAATAATCAATTATTTCAACTTCTATAAACAATCGCCAAAGATCTATCGTTCCAAGCATCTCCCTCCTTATATGGCACCACTATTCAAGGAACCTTAAAAAGACTATTTGTCCACTTTAGCGTTGATTAGAAACTATTCGTCGGTTCACATCGCCAAACACTTCACAAATAAAATCCATGACGAACACCATGCAGATAGAAGCAGATTAAACAAAAAAGTTGAACATATCAGACACAGTTAAATTCACTCATCCCTATTGGTTGGCAAAAAGAAAATCTATGCGAGTTTTAAAAAAGCACACGATGCATCCAAGTGAAATCAAATTACGCTCTGATTATTATGATAAAAAATGTTTATCATATAAGTATGTAAACAAACAAAAAATTGCTCAAAATCCGATCATATATTAGAATTGATTAAACTAAAGCATCATCACTTTGCTCCTCACATCCTCGGCGCAATCAACCAGCGACCGACACATTTTCACAACGCTCTCTGTCTTTTCTCTATTCCAATTGCGTTTTTTCCTTCTTTCCTTCTTTCTCTCACTTCAATTTCACTTCCTTCACACACTCTTTCTGCATGCAAGTCTTTGTTTCTTTCTTTGTCTCCCGTTCACTCCCTCCCTTTACCAACTTAAAGTAGCAGTGTCTTAGGTGAGACAATTGGTTTCTTATTCAGCAACCACAAAGTGCAATATGAACAGAGAGTGATACATAAATGAAATACATATTCGAATGAATAGAATCAATCGTGATCAAAGAAGAAAAGAAAGAATATACATTTATATAATTGTATTGTTGTTCGGTTGTACTCGAATAGCATATATAAATAAACACAAGAAATAGCGAGACGTACTACACATTCACTATATGAAAGCTTAGCTAGCAAGCTTATCAAAGATGTTCGTGTTCGTGTCGGTTGCTCGCTCGTTTTGCTTTTATA